CCCCCCCCCCCCCCCCTGAGGGTCCAAAAAAACTGGGAAAGCCTTTCACGTCGGCCCACAAAACATACATTCCCCCCAAAGAGAACTCGTGGCCACCCGTAAGCATCCAAACAGCCCATGCTTTGTGTGTCTGTGTGTGTGTGTGTTGTATGTATGTGTGTGTTCGCGGTCAGATGCATCCAAGTCCGGCCTCACTGAGGGTGAGGGTCACACACATGGAGAGAAGTGGTAGCGTGAGTATGCCCACGGCTGTTGGCTGCATTGAGAAGAGGAAAACAAAGCACAGAGTCACAGACCACCTTGGCTGGGGGATGCCGATGACCGCCACACACACCTGAAGTGAATTTTCTCGTTCGATACGGTTGTGGTGATGAGGGTGGGTTATATTGGGCCTAGCCGCCCAGCACATGAGACGGAAAAAAAAAGAGAGCATCTGCCTCCAAAATGTGGCAAAATACATTTGCTAATATTCATAGTAAACGAACGAACCTGTGTCCATTTTCTGTGGGAAGATGCACTCGTTTCGATTTTCGTTTCGTGTGCCGTGCGGCGGTGACGCCAATTCCGGGGAAGACGGTAGTCCAAGAGCAAGACGGAGCGGCTTAACCGCCACCATTTGGCGGATGCATGACCCTTCGTGCACCCAGTCAAGCCACCAGTGCTACCGCGGCACTTTTCTTCGGCCCTGGGATTGCCCTGCGCGCCAAACAACGAAACCAGCACGGGCCATTGATGGATTTTATCAACGGCCTTGAAGGCCCCGAAACTGCGGCGCGTACGGGAAAACCGACCGCAGCCAATACATCATGTTTAATTCAGGCAGAATAATTTGACTGAACATATTGGCATCTCGTTTGATGAAAAATGCTATCAATTAAAAAAAAAAAAAAAAAAAAAATGCTATCAAGTCCAAAAACTTTTGATCTTGGATTCGTGATAACAAGGCGCCGCTTGCCAAGTACTGGCGGTTTAACTCGTTCACGGGCGGCGGCCGTCAACTTGCCCCACCTTGCTCGGTCACCGGTGTTTTAAGCGTGCACAAACAGCCAGACAAATGGTAATAAATGGCAGAAATAAGCATAATGAGGGGGTTATATGAAGCGTAGACAGGGGTCTGAAGGGGTATAGAGAAGACCACGGGGGGCGCATATGCAATTAACACAAGCAGTGAAGAAAAGCAGGCCCCACCTTGCCGTCATACTGGTGCTTTAAGTGTGTGTACAAACGGCCGGCCACACAAATGGTAATAACTGGCGGACTTAAGCATAATGAGGGGGTTATTTTAAAAGTATACAGGGGTCTAAAGGGGTGTGGTGTGGAGAAGACTACGGACGACACATGCAATTAACACAAGCAGTGAAGAAAGGTGGGGCCCACCTTGCTCTCGTACTGGTGCTTTAAGTGTGCGTACAAATGGGCACACAAATGATAATAAATGGCGGACTTAAGCATAATGAGAGGGTTATGTTAAAAGTATACAGGGGTCTAAAGGGGTATGGAGAAGACTGCGGACGATGAATATGCAATTAACACAAGCAGTGAAGAAAGGCAGGCCCCACCTTGCTCACGTACTGGTGCTTCAAGTGTGTGTACAAATGGGCACACAAATGGTAATAAATGGCGGCCTTAACCATAATGAGGGGGTTATGTTAAAATTATACAGGGGTATGGAGAAGACTGCGGAGCAGGCATTTGCAATTAACACAAGCAGTGAAGAAATGTGGATACAAAAGATTGAGTACACACGACCCTCTCGTACACACGACCCTCTCTTGTTGCGCCGTGTCGTTGGATGAATCTAGCGGGGTACCAATTTAGCCATCTTTTGCTGAACCAGCCAGTCCAACAAAGGACCAATTTTGCTCAACCATCTTGTTGGGGCGTAATTCATTATCCCAATTGGACCACTCAGTGGGACCAACCACGCCAATGGGACAATCTAGTGGGACCTACCAAGCCAATCGAACGACCTTGTGGGACTATCTATTGGACCCGAAGCCACTGGAACCATCTTGTTGAACCATCTAGTGGACCAACCGAGCCGATGGAACCATCTTTGTGTGACCATCTAGTGGACCAACTAGCCAAGCAAATGGTCCAAATGGAATCTAATCTAGTCGGACCAACCCCAAGCCGATAGAACCATCTTGTTGGGCCAACCGACTCAACGGAACCATCTTTTTGGACCATCTAGTGTACCAATCAAGCCAATGGTCCATCAAGTGGGACCAAGCAGGTCAACGGAACCATACTTTGGGACCATCTAGTGCGCCAACCCAGCCAATGTGCA